GGGGTAGGGGGGAGCTTGGGGAGGGACTGGGGGGGGGTGGTTGTGCTGTGCCCCAAAAAGCCAGGACAGCACCGGGAGGCTCAGCCGCGCAGACCCTGCTTTGCTGGGGGAAGGCACGGTGAGTGCCGCGGCTTCGGGGGTGGAATTACCCCTTCCCAGGCGCCCAGGTCCCGGCAAAGGGGATCTGCGCTCTCGGGGAGAGGCGGGGGATCCTTTAGTCGCTGCTGGGCTCCCGCACCAGCTGCGGAGGGACGTGGGGAGGGGAAAGAGGGCTGATTTAGTAGATAGAAGATGCATCTCTACGGATGGGAGTCCGTCCAGAGGTAATCTATGTGTAAGGTAATTTCTGAAGGCAGCAGGACTCGATGCAACCCTTAATAGGGCAATCTCATGTGATAAATTACCAGCCTCAACTAATCTGCATGTTAAATTTCTTGTATGAGAAATAAATATCCTCAATTCACCAGAGAAGCGCTTTTCCTTCCGAGGATTTCATTAAAGACATCAAGCTGCCTGATTTGCATGTTATGATTCCTCATACGAGAAGAAGTCAGGCTCTGGAGAGCTCGCAGGAGAGCCCGGCACCGGCGAGATTATGCGCGGAAAAACAGAGCCGGCCCCGGAGAGCACAGTGCTGGCGTGCCAGGGTACGGGAGCGGAGCGCGGGGGCAAGGCTCCGCCGCCCGCCCGCCCTGCCACCACCTTAACGAAGGTCCCAGTGAGCACCGGAGGGGACGGGGTCTTGCTGTGGGGTCCCCAGGAGCGAGAGGCAGTTGGGGTCCCATGGGAGAGCTGCCTCCACGCACCCCACGCAGCGCAGGCAGTGAGTGGGTGAAGGCAGGCTGGTCCCTGGGGATGCTCCCAGTGTGGGGACAGGTCCCTGCGCCCGCGGTCCCCAATCCCTCCGTGGTCCCCAATCGCACTTGACCCCTCCCGGGGATGCTCCTGAGGGAGGTCGGCTCCGCAGGGACGTGGAGCCGAGCTGGTCCCCGAGCCCCCCATGGTCCCCAAGGATGCTCCCGAGGGCTCGGCTCCACTTGCCCACAGCAGCACTGCCTTAGCCCTCTCCGGCTCAGGGCCAGGGCCCGGCTGAGCCCACTCCCCACTTGCCCTTCATCGCATGCCAACAAGTCGCTGGGGTGGCAAGCTGGTGGATGAATCGCTGCGGGAAGGAAAAGGACGGTCGCCATGGAAACGCGCTGCCAAACTGGGAGAGCGACTCCTTCCCTTAAAACGTGGCGTGAGCTTGTCTGACCATCAGATGAGGATGAACCAAGGTGGGGAGCGCGGGGCCGAGGGGGCGCGAGCCCCAGCCCACAGCCCCCCGAAAAATGGGTAAAACGCACAAGGGCGGCTGCCAGCGGGATGCCCTGCGGCTGGGGAGGGTTTGGGGAGGAGCAGGGAGGACCCCGAGGACACAAATGCAGAGGTGACACTCTGTCCTGGCTGGGAACCACGAGGTGATGCCACCAAGCCCGGCCGGCACCCCAGGCACGGCGCCTCACCCCCCAGCACATGCTGCAGAGCTCCGTGCGTCCTGTCACGGGCACGGCCGGGCCCTGGGGAAGGTCCCGCGGGCCCCCGGAGTGGGGACACGCTGGGGGGGCATGTGCCAGCCCCGAGCTGGGGGGGGGGACTGGCTGCACCCCACAGCCCTCACCCACGCTGCTGGAATCTGACCCCTGCACGGACAGGAACATCCCTGAGCATCCCCGGCCATCAGCACCAGCCCTCCTCTCTCCACGGATTACTCTGTTTCTAAACTCGTTAACTTTTAATTACTACCTTCCCACTGCCTGAGCAGGCTGGCTGCGTGCCACCAACATCTCTATTAAAATTCAATTTCTGCCCATCATAACTAATTTTGGTACTTCGCCTTCCTCACCAGCAGCCTTCAGTTCCAGGCAAGACGTCCAAACTCGCATCGTGACACGTTAAATCCCCGCGGGGACTTGGGGACCGGCAGCAATGCCGATGCCAGCGGGTTGTGTCCTCGCCGCGGCGAGGACGAGTTAAAGCCAGGCAGCGATTTGCATAGAGGCTGTTTGCTTCATTAGCTGCGTTTGTTTTGGGTTTTCCCCATGTGTGTGTTTATTTTCTCGCTTCCTTCCTTAATCCTTTCTGGCTGGATGCTGGAGCCGGAGGCGGGGGCCGGGGGGCTCAGGGGGAAGGGAGTCACCTTGGTGCAGGGACGTGGGGACTGCGTGGCGCAGGACTCTGGGTGGCCCAGAGCAGAGACACACGAGCGCTGGCCTCCTTCCTGCGCGAGGGTAAACTGAGGCCTGGGCCAAACCCAGGAGCAGACTGGAAGCCAGGAGTCCCCGTTCTGGGTTTGGAGGTGACCCCCAGGCACCCCGAGATGGGGTCGGGGTCCTGATGCCCTTCTCCTGCCTGGGGTGGGTGGCTCTGCCCCAGCGCTGCCGCTGCGAGGGCTCCGCGTCCCCCCACCCTGCTGTCACCACCGTCCCCACAGTCCCAGTTCAGGGTTGACAAATTGGGGTGTCCCCGCTGCAGCCGGTGTGACTCCAGACAGGTGGGAGCTGCGGGAATCTGGGGGTTCAGCAGGGCTCTGAGCTTTGACACCAGGGCTGGGGACAAGGGACCCGTCCCAGGGGGCAGCCGGCACTGCGGCGGACACCCAGCACCGAGCCTGGGGCGTTGGGGACATCACAGAGCTGCAGCCACCATGGCTTGGCAGGGGACAGCACCCCTTGTCCCCAAGGACGCCACTCCAGCACCCAGCACAGCACACGGTGCCGGGGAGGGGACCCAGCACAGCACCTGGCGCCAGAGAGGGGACACATGGTGCTGGGGAGGGCACCCAGCACCCCGGCACAGCACCCGGTGCCAGAGAGGGGGTGTCACCCAGCCACATTGTCTGCCTCGCTGGCATCCCGGAGCAGCCCGGCGTTGCCATAGCAACACGAAGCCTTTGGATTCAAGGGGGAACGGCTCTTCTCGGGCTCAATTATTGATTAAAACAGAGAGGATGACACACGCACGCAGAAGAGACGGCGAGAGGTGCTCGCCTTGATGCAAAGGCGAGCCCCGAGCGGGCCGCGACGCGGGGCAGGATCGGTCGGCACAGGGGGCCGGGTGCCCCAACGCGGGGTG